GTTGAAGAGTGAAGAGGATTAGGGTATTAGGGATTTAGAGTTTTTTATTTTTTTAAAAAAATTATTTAATATTAATAATTATTAAATATAATATAATTTATAAATTAAAATAATAATATTTCGGTTTAAACCGAAATACCGAATTTCAAACTAATACGTACCGAAAACCGAACCGAAATACCGAAAATACAAAAAAATAAACCGAATACCGAACCGAAAACCGAAAAACCGAAACCGAAAATTTTAAAAAATTTCGGTTCGATTCGGTGTTTTGGTTTTCCGGTGTTTATGCCACCCCTAGTTTTGATACCTCTTTTAACTGAATTAGCAATAAAAAAAAAAGATTATGAGCCTTAAATTAAGCTTCCTTTATCATGGCATATATGGAGGCTTTTGAGATTCTTTTGTCGGGTTTAATCTCAACACAAGCAACATCTTTTTGTACTATTTCATTATTGTTGCATTTATTTTTTGCTCCCACCCAACCCTCAAGCCCAGGTTAACATACTTGCTTTGCCATTTAAGGGCATTTTTATTTTTATTTTGTCGATGTTATATAAATTGGGATAGAGGAAGTAAAATGTATCATTTAAAAATGACTTAAAGTATAGAGTATACTATGAATTTCAATAATTAATAACTTGAAATATTAAAAAGAAATTGATTGACTCTTAAAAATCTACATGTGTCACATAAGTTGAGATAAAAGGGAATAATATAGCACAATTTGGTTTTTACGTCGACTATTGTTTGTTAGGTATGCAAAAAATAGTTGTTCAAAATTAATTGTCAATCTAAATTATCAAGAAATAATTAGTCAATTTTTTCCAATTTTACCTTAGTAAGAGTACATAAGTACTGGTTTCAAAAACTAGTCATTTTAAAGTTACAAGACTATTAATATGAAAAAAAAATATTTTTACAATTTTTAAAAAGAACAAATCATTTTAATAATGACTGATAGTAAGATTACATAATCAAAATGTATCATATATTAAATTTTTCTTAACAATTATGCATGATCTTATTATAATAAACAATGGACGGTGAAAGTACTAAAAACTAATTTGACACAATTTGGGCAAGAAGTCAATTATGACCTCATTGTTAATTGACTCCAATACTGCCTAATTTCCCACTAATTAGGAACATCCCTCCAGAAATAAAATCATCATTACACTTAAGCATGGTTATATTTTTCAGTTTTCCAATACGTCAATCTCTTCACCAATTTACATAAGCATGTTCGTATCTTTCATTACTTATCAGTACTAAAATAAGATGAGCTCCAAATATTAATCCGTTAAAGTTTTATTAAAACAAAATGACTCCTAACTCTAAAAAATTATAAATAAAAAAACCAAGTGTAACTTTTACTTCTTAATGAGAAATTGCAGTATTCTTTTAAGCTCGTGTACTTCAAATTCCAATTCCAATTCCGATTCCAAATTCACTCACTTATGTTTTTTCAACAAAATATAATCATAAATCCTACTTCTAGTAAGTTTTAAATCATAAGCCTTCTGTCTCAATTTATGGAACTTATTTTTATTTTTAGTCAATTCTAAAAAAACTGACATATTTCTATATGAAGTAACAATTTACCTATAAAATATCTATTTTATCCTTAATGAAATTATCTATTGCCACACAAATTTTCTATCACTCATTTAGATTACAAGTTCTAAAAGTATTTTTTTAAAAAAATTCCGTGTTAGATCAAAGTAGCTCACCTAAAATAGGACCATAAAATAGGACGAAGGGAGTAACAATTTTGTTATATACTTCATCCGTCCCATTTTGTATATCATCCATGTCTATAAATAGTTGGACCACAACAGTTGTCATTTAATAAAATTTATGTATAAATTACTCTCTACGTCCACTATTGTTTGTCAGGTATACTAAAAATAGTTGTCCAAAATTAATTGTCAATTTTAACAATCAAGAAACAATTAGTTATTTTTTTCCAACTCTGCCCTTAATAATTTACATAACGATTTAAAAAAGAAATCATTTTAAAGTTACAAAACTACTTTAATGTGAAAAAAAGTTATTTTTACCGTTTTCAAAAAGTACAATCATTTTAATAATGATTGATAGTAGGATTATATTAGTCAAATTACACCTTATATTAAATTTTTCTTAAAGATTGTGCATGATCTTATTTGACAAACAATAGTGGACGGAGGAGGGAGTACCATATTTTGCTTATTATTTATATTCTTGATAGAATAATTAATTAATGTTGAAAATATATTCATAAAGCTGACGTAAAAAAACATTAAATAAATGTAGAAGGTTAAAATTATATCATTTCTTAATGTAAGTACAAAGTAAAAAGATGACATATAAATACAACGGAAGTTAAAAAAAAAAAAGGAGTGCTAAACCTAACTAAAAGATGTTTGAACCTATTATGAATTTTTCAAAGCTTCCTTGTGACATGGATTACCTTTTCCACGTCTTTCTATACACTCCATGTTTACTGAAACCCAATTTTTGAATAAAGAAAAAGACACTTGATTGGTAAAAAGCCATAATTTGCGTTGTTGTGATTGGGGTATTCACCCTATATATATATTCCTTTACTAACTAACTCCAAGCAAGCCAAGCCAAGCCAATTAGTATAGTAGAATGAAAGTTTGTGTTTGCCTCATTCTCTTCTTCTCTTTGGGTACTGCCCAATTTGACTATAGAGATGCTCTTGAAAAGTCCATTTTGTTCTTTGAAGGACAAAGATCAGGCAAACTCCCCCCCAACCAACGACTCTCTTGGAGGGGTAACTCTGGACTTCAAGATGGTTCACTTGCTAAAGTAACTTTTTTTTTTTCATTATTATTCTCTCCGTCCTTAATCGTTTATCTATTTTTTTAATAGGATAAATTCACTATGTCAATCATTATTATTCAATTAAGAGAGAGAAAGCAGGTTCCAAAGATAATATTTATAGTGTGAATGTATGATTTTGTGCAGGTGGATTTAAGTGGAGGGTATTATGATGCTGGTGATAATGTCAAGTTCAATTTCCCAATGGCATATACGACGACAATGCTGTCGTGGAACACACTTGAGTATGGGAAGAGAATGGGTGCACAATTACAGCATGCACGGGCTGCTATCCGTTGGGCCACTGATTACTTTCTAAAATGTGCAAATGCTGCTCCAAACAAGCTATTCGTTGGTGTTGGTGACCCAAATGCTGATCACAAGTGTTGGGAAAGGCCTGAAGATATGGACACTATACGTAGCGTCTATTATGTGTCTCCCAGTAATCCTGGTTCTGATGTTGCTGGAGAAATGGCTGCTGCTTTAGCTGCTGCCTCATTAGTTTTCCGATCTGTTGATCCAGTTTACTCGAAAAAACTATTGGGAAATGCAGTCAAAGTGTTTAGGTTTGCAGTTCAATACAGAGGGTCTTATAGTGATTCATTAGGCTCTGCAGCTTGCCCATTTTATTGCTCATACTCTGGTTATAAGGATGAGCTATATTGGGGAGCAGCATGGCTATTGAGAGCAACAAATGACATTTCTTACTTAAACTTGATTAATACATTGGGAGCTAATGATGTACCAGATTTATTCAGCTGGGACAACAAGTATGCTGGTGCTCATGTTCTTATGTCAAGGGTATGTATATACATTTATTCGTTTTAGAGAGAAAGGACAAATATACCCTAATCATCGTAAATGGTATGTAGATACCTTCAGTCATACTTTTGGAACATTTGTGATTCTGCCGTCCAAAAACTAGATCATATATGTCTTTTACTCTAACAGAAGACTAAATAGGGACACGTGACAAAATCTTATCCATCGATCCGATATTAATAAATGTCGGGTCGATGGATAAGATTTTGACACGTGTATGTCGTTTAGTATAAAGGGTATATATGTTCTAATTTTTGGACGGCAAGCACTAATATCCCAAATGTATGATGAAGGGTATCTGCATATAATAGTTCAACGGTATATTTATCATTTTTTCCTAAATTTTATTAGACTACTAGTCTTTAATTGTCTCTAATAATAAGATATATAATGCAGAGAAGCGTGGTAGGAAATGACAATAGATTTGATTCATTCAAACAAAGAGCGGAAGATTTTGTATGTAAAGTACTACCCAACTCACCTTATACAAGCACCCAATATACAAAAGGTGAGGCTGGAACTGGACTACTTGTTGTTAGGTTTTAATTAATTGCGACTAATATGTATTATTACATACGTACAGGGGGCTTACTTTACAAGCTACCTGAAGAAAACCTTCAGTATGTGACATCCATTACTTCTCTGCTCACCACTTATGCCAAATACATGGCAACTAAAAAGCATACTTTCAACTGTGGAAGCCTTGTCGTTACAGAAAAGACAATTAGAAACTTTGCAAAAAGACAGGTAAAAATCAAATCCTTTTTATAAAAAGATTAAATGTGATCGATCATTCATTTGATTTTCTTACTGTTTGATTTTAGGTGGACTATATTTTGGGAAATAATCCAATGAAAATGTCATACATGGTTGGGTATGGGAGTAACTACCCGCGAAGAATTCACCATAGAGGATCATCTTTACCTTCTTTGGCAATGCATCCACAATCATTTGGTTGTGAAGCTGGATTTCAACCATTTTACTACACAGCAAATCCTAACCCTAACATATTAGTTGGAGCTATTATCGGAGGTCCAAATCAAAATGATTTCTTCCCAGATGAACGTACTGATTATAGTCATTCGGAGCCAGCTACTTACATTAATGCTGCTATTGTTGGACCTTTAGCATATTTTGATAGTTCCAAACATTAACGGTTTATCTAATTGTAATTGTAAATATATCCCTTCATCACCAAAACTTGGTATAGGGATATATACTTACTTCTTAATATATATATATATATATATATATGTTCAACGAATGTTTCTTCCCCATCTCAAACTTAATTATGCCAAAACAAAATCAAGAGACTTTGAGCAAAAATATTTTTTTAGTTGTTATCCAGCTAAAAGGGCAAAGCTGATGCATGATAGTAATTACTTGATGATAACAAGATTTTCTTAGTTAGGCTTGTTGTCTGATACATTTTTTATGTTCTTTCTTCTCTGAATTTGAGACAAGAAAAAAGAAAATACGTACATCTGATGGAGTCACTGAGTCATAGTTGAACGCTAAAATGTTTAGTCTCATGACTGGGGCTAAGGGAGAATGCTGCATCGACAACTTTACCGTCATAACTAGCAGTAAGTTTGTATTCACCAAGGAAACCATAGAAGCTGTAAGAGCCATGTTCATCTGTTTGGCCCTTGAGAACTCCAGTGTCCCATTCCTTGAGCAGCTTGTCCACTACATTACCGGTTGGTAGGTTATTTAAGTCTGGATCTGTAAGGCACATTCTGTAACATTTGTTTCGCCTAATGGCACTCCACAACATTATCCCATCCACTGCTGGATGTGAGAAGCCCTCCCGTAATACCTGTTCCAAGTAAATGGCCTGTGTTTCCTTGCTAAATGTATCACTGATATCGACTTCTGTGAGCCAAATGGGAAGCCCCAATGTTGCTAATTTGTCAAGAGTAGCTCTTATACGAGGGGGATTAGGAGCTCCAAAATGACCCTCAAGGCCAATTCCATTCATTGACATGCGATCTTCTTTAAGCTCCCTAATCTTTGCGATATATTTATCAACCGTGGATGAAGAATCACAAGTTTCCACCACATTGAATTCATTGAGGAACAAAGTTGCCAAAGGGTCTTGTTGGTGTACCGTCCTGTAAAATTCATGTGTGGCATCCGGTCCCAGCCTTTGCTCGTAGAAATTGAAGTGAAGTAGTTCATTGTTAACGTCCCAGTGAACGAATTCATCTTTGTATTTGGACATAAGACTCTGAATCCTGGAGTTTACAGCTGATTTCAGCTCAGAATCTGTAAGATTTTGAACCCAGGCCGGTATATATTTAGGGTCCTCCCAGAAAATATTGTGACCTCTAACTGTGATCTGGTTTCTCCTAACAAATTCTAGCAACTCATCTGCTAAAGTATAGTTAAGTTGTCCCTGTTTAGGCTCTGTCGTATACCATTTGATTTCGTCTTCAAAAACTGCAGCATTGAATCGCTCGAGAAACCAGTTCTGAAAAAGGAACAAACCTCACTTTCTGGAAAGAAAATAAGTGTGACTATATATGTCTCGTACGATGGACAAACCTGATAGGGGATATTGCCAATAAAGGTATACGCAATAGCAGATCCAAGGAGAAAATCTTTGGAAACTTGTTCTACCGTTAGAGATGCATTTTCAAGTCTAACTCCTTGTTTATTTGAGACGTGGATAGTAACAGCCCGCTTCCTTGCCTGAACCAAACGTGTATTCAATTTTTCAATCAAATGAAATTAGAAAGCACTACTCAACACATTTACCATATTAATTTTTGTTTGTTGATTCAGCAGCCATTGCTGCTCAGTGAAAGGCTGCAATGAAGCACTAGCAATCTCAATTTCTAAGTCTTGTTCATCCGAATTCTGCAAGACGAAAAAAAAATACTTGATGTGCATGTAGATACTAACACATAATGAGCAAGGCAACAAATATATACACACACCTTTAAGTATATGGAAGATATATTAAGTGACGAAGCTACAAATCCACCCTTGAGGAAAGACCAACATCCAGGCTTAGCATCTACAGTGCCTACACATAATTCATCTGAATCTTGGTCACCCACGCTTGCTGTTATGACAGCAGAATCTGCATTTTTTATCTTAATCCAAGCTGTCAAAAGAATTAAAAAAAAATTAGCTTTCCTCTCTGATAAACCATTTTATCATATTTGGGATTAAAATGGAGAGAAAACATGTACTCAACTGGAAAAAGAATAAATGGTGCCAGGGGTGATATCTTGTAGTTTGAAAATAGGCAAATTGACTGTTGTTATTCCATCAGCCCTCGTAAACTCCGGCAAATTATCCTTTAGAATTCCGCCAGCATATAGTGGCTTTTCTGGATATTGTTTGCACTACACAGCAAATCATACATATTAAAATGATTGTAAAACATTCTCAAATTTGTGAAAATGCATGTACACCGACTGCAATTGCTGGTCTGAGGATCCTTTAAAAATACATCTCTGTAATAGCCATCATCGTCGACATATCATCGAACTTGTGTAGTTTTCTCCTCCAGAACTAGCTAGAAGATGGAGATAGATGACTACATCAAGTCTGAAATGGAATGGAGTGTTTCTATGCCTACCAAATTGGAAAAAGATGTTAAGCATTCAATTGGTTGAATCTAATATCTTCTTTTGGCAGAGACCTAAATCTTTATCTTGACCGGCAATTTGTTCCCTTCTTGTCACAATTGAAATCGTTGCTTTTCTTTTACTTGGTGCTACATTTTTCTTTCTGCAATTCAATTTACAAACTTTTGTTTATGGGTCTCATTACGGATAATTTATACGGGTATCCATTCAAATTATTTATTTGTACTTAACTCATATAAAAATGAATAATAAAGTTAAATTCATATTACTCATTTAAAAGTGAATAATTAAGGGTCATTTGATAGAGTATCCTAACAAAAATAATACTTGTATTAATTTTGTGTATTAGCATTATATTTGTTTGGTACTTTTTTTCATGCTCGTAAATAATTATTTTTGAACAATACATTTTATTTTTAAGACACCAAATCAAACAATGCATAAGAAAATAATCTAGATAAAATTAATGAATACGTAACTTATACAAGCATCGATGATGCAAATATCGATAAAACATTCTATTTAGCATTATTTATAAAACATACACATTTATTAGGAGGACGGGATAGGAATGGATAGGATAAGAGGATGGAGCGGTGGCGGAGATGGTGGGGTGTGTGTGCGCGCAGGGGGGAGGGGGGCGCTAGTGATGGTGGGGTGATCAAAGTAGTAAAAATAAATTTAATTTCTTTTATAAAACAAATTTACTTTTTTAGGCATTGGGGTTAGAAGTGGGTGGGTGGGGGCTGGAAGGGGATTTATTTTTTAGGCGTTGAGGTCAGGGCGTGGATGGGGTGGAGGGAATAGTGGTGGTGGGGTGATCACAGTAGTAAACAAAAATAAATTCAATTTTTTTAAAAAAATAAATTTAATTATTTGACGGTGGGGTGGAAGTGGGGGTGGGTGGGGGGTGGCAGTAGTAAAACTATAATAATTCTTTAGGCATTGGAGTTCGGGGTGGGAGTGGCCAGGTTAAATTAAGAAGTTCCAAGTTGTTGGTGGGGTGGGGTGGAGAGTAATTTTTTGCTTATAAAGCTTTTACCATATTCTCAATAATAATATAGGTAATTATGGATATCTATATTATTCCTTGAGTAATTTATTTTTATTTATTTAAAATATGAATCGAATTAAATATTTTATTTATATTTATTTATTTTGTTTTCGATTAATTTATATTTGTCTGAATCGCTTATTGGCTACTCCTAGGTCTGATCACTTACAATGTTATGAAACAATAGAAGAGCCTATCGATTATGACGACAGAACTTTCAAATTCGGGGATGAATATGGACTCAACACTATTTAGCAGATTATACTCTGTAAAGACTCTTAACTATGGTTAGTATATAGTAGTTAACAAAATAGATTAGATCCATTGAATTTAAGTGCACATACGTAACACAGAACATCTCTTAACTATGGTTAGTATATAGTAGTTAATAAAATAGATCAGATGCATTGAAAATTTAAGTGGACATATGTAACAGATATAACACAGAACTAGAGGAATCGGAGAAGGTGCCCGTTGGAGCAGAGCTGTGTTTCTGTAATTTTGTAGTAGAAATTTAGGTAAACAATAAAATGATTTCACAATTTAAATCTTGACATTTTGACATATAGTATTGTCATGAATGATATTAGGAATCATAATTTATTTCTATAAATAGGTAGCTCTTGATTTATTTGTAAAACACAATTTATTTCTATAAATAGGTAGCTCTTGATTTATTTGTAAAACATTTCTTACTTGTACGTCTTTTTATCTTCTAAGACATTTGATTTTCTTTCTTTTTTATAGTATTTCACTTGCATTCTTTTGAAGTAAAATAAATATTGCTTGGTTGTGTTCGAGGATTGGACAAAAGAAAATATTTTTTTGTCGAACTTCGTAAATTTTTTGTGTTCTTTTTATTGTTGTCTCATTTACTATTTATTACTCCATCTATTTTATAAGCAATGACCTAATTTGACTTGGCACGAAGTTTAAGAGTATAAAGAAGACTTTTGAATCTTGTGTTAAAGTTAGGTCAAATGTACAAAATTGTTCTTTGGTCTTGTAACCTTAAACATGCTAAGTGGAAAACTGAAATTAAAATGTTACCAAAAAATAAAAGAGGTTATTTCTTTTAAACGGAGGGAATAGTGATTTTTAGATGTAATATTTGTGATTTCATCATTCTTTCTATATTTGGGTTCCACAACCACGTAATATCTCTCCGAGGAGGATTGTAAATGAGGATCTTATAATGATTTTTGTGTGATAATTTATTGAAACATGATTCGCTTTATGAGTTGAGTTATAATTCAAGTATTAGTGATCGTGAGATTAAAAATATGTTTCATTACTTTGGTCATTCCTTGATTCCATGCTTAATTTTTGTGAAATGAGTTTAATATCATTTTCATGCTTGAATTAATGATTTGAGAGTGTGCACTGAGAAGTAGATCATGATCTTTGTGGATTGTTCGAAAGAGAACTCTTGAAGTGGACAATAGGTTATTAATCATATTTGACTTTGAATCCTAATTTGAGACTAAAAGGAAATAATTTAGGTTTATTTTGTTGAATGTTAGACTTGTTAGAAATAAAGATTTAGATTAAGGTCTTGGATTGCTTGTTTCAATTGAGACAAAAAGAAAATTTTGTGATAACACTTTAAGATCGAAAATAAATTAGTGTTGTCTAATGATAATATATTTTATGTATAATTGATTTAGTACGATTGAATTGTAATGGATAATTGAATTTTAATTGAATTTTGAATTTCTCAATTCTCATATATCCCTTGCTCGATATTGTGTTTGCTCAAATCCATCACTTGGTTGTCAAAATCACTCCTGATATTAATACTCATGTATTCTTAAGTTTATGTTCAAGCTTGTATCTATTCATTCTTTATTTTTTCAACTATCAAAAAATTGTTCTTTGTGAAATTTAACTCTGACTCTTAACTGGGTAATCACTCTTGATATTGACAACCGTGTATTTTAAGTTTAGGTCCAAGTTATATCTATTTATTTTTTGCCTTTTCAATTACCGATAAATTATTTGTTGTAGGATTCAACAACTTCTCTTGGTAGGTAATTTTATTAATGACAATTGTTTATTCCTTTGGGCTTAAACAATTAAAACGGTTGCTTATGTTTATCAATTTGTCTCCTAGTGTTGTTTTGGATGGTGATGTTCCAAACAAAGTTTGATTTGCTAAGGATGTTTCATATGATCACTTGCAAATGTTTGGATGTAAATCTTCTGTGCGTGTTTCAAAATATCAGAAGTCGTGATGCTGTGTTCTTTGGAGATCAAAGTAGTGAACACTAAAAAATTAGATTTTCAAGATGAGAGCTTAGTTGATGTTGATATAATTCCTAATACTGATACGTCTTTTGCATATGAAGGAAACCCAAGATCATCGGGGTGTAGAACCTATAGATGCTCCCATTGCTGATGTTCTGATTGATCAAGAAACCTCTAAAAGAAGATCTAATATGGAGATGCAAAGCTCAACACGTTATTTCCCTGATGAATATATATTTTTGACTAGCATGAAAGATTATAAAGGTTATGATGAAGTCAAACAAGATACTCATAGAGATACGTTGGTAGAAGTCACTATGACCATGTTTCAGTCAACGGCCCATAACCCAATTCTATTTGAAAAATGATTGAAATATTCTCCTTTTTAAATTCTCAATCCAATCAGAAAGGGATTGAAATTGTAATCTTATTTGTAATTGATTTTGGCTTTTTAAGGAAAAAAACCACTCTGTAAATAAGATGATTTGAAAGAATTATTCATTTTCTCATTAATATTGTTTTTGAAAAATATTAGGACATTAGAGAGGGTTCTGAGAGAGCTTTCGATTAGAGAGAGTTTTTCTCCGTCAAGCAACCTTTAGATCCCATTGCCGATTCAATAACCGTTGGATTGGGCTGAAATTTTGACTACGTATTTTAATATCTTGGTGTTTAATTTGAACGGTGGAGATCAGATTAAGAGATTAGAAAGCTCAGTTTTAGATCCTAAACTACAAATGTGTCTAAGAGATTTTCGTTCTATTTACTTGTGTTGGTGTAGCTGTTTCTTTGTTTTTGAAAATATTGTGTATTTATTTAGGAGAATATTTGTAACCTGCTCATTGTTATAGAGATGTAATTCAGATCTCGCCAATTATGTGGTTGTTACCTTCGATTTGAAGGGTTTTTTTCCACGATTTTTTTTTTTTTTAATTTTTGGATTTTCATCTTTCTTCACAACAATATAAATTATGGAGAAATCTATAAATTATTTTATACATGATAAAAATGTGAAGTAACAAATACATGTATAAGTGATTTATGAATTACTAATTCTTATATTAAATAATATTAAACTTTAGCATAACTAATCCTTATAATTTTAATACATGCATAACTCTAATAAGCTACAAACCACCCAGACTGCTTTTCTAACTTCTTATTGAGAAGTAATTCAAAGTCGTCTCTTCTAAGAGAGTTGGGTCAGCCCACAAAGAGCACTCACTACCTAATTTGAAAATTACACTACACGTAGGAGTTTTTCATAGCTTCAAATGTATTATATCGACAAACAAGTGTATGCATACAAACATACAAACTTGTCTTTTTTTTCACGAAAAAGGGCCTAAAATACTTTTAAATGGTACAAAATAAATTATTCATCTATCTATTAGCTCCAAAATACCCTTTCCATCCACCTATTGGGTCCAAAATATCTTTGTCATCCACCTTTTGATTCAAAATTGACCACTTATTTAACGGTTTATATTTAAACTATTTAAATATTTTTTTAAATACATGACGCTCAACTATTTGTTATAATTTAATTTATTAGTATAATTTATAAGTCAATTCACTACCCACCCTTTACTAATTAAACCCCTCTAAACTAATAAACCCGTCACATTATTAATGCAACAACAAAAATCTAGTGCTAATTGAATGCTTTTAAAAATTTGAGGCTAAAATATCTATAGAAGTAAATTATCATATATTCAAGTGTTTAAATAAAAATTACCGATAAACTTAAAAATTTGATTATGTTCATCCTAATTATTCTTACGTCTCAATTATGTGATGTTATTAGGTAATTTTTTTTTCAAAATAATATATTAAAGGGTTTAATACAAATCATAAATTTGAGAATCCTATTGAAAGTGTCTCCTAAATAAGCGGCTCAATCTAAATTTAATTGGGGCTTCGATTCGAATTCGAATAATTTTGGATGTCATTTTCAGGAATCTATAATTTCATAATGTTTTAGTAGAGTTTATGACGATTTTGATATTATAATTGGATTATTATTTGGATGCGGTTTAGTTAGTAATGAGTGGGTAGTAAATTAGTTTATAAATTATATTAATAAATTAAATTATAACCAATAGTAGAATGCCAAATATTTTAAAAAATATTTAAAGAGTTTAATTTTAAAACAATTAAAGAAGGTGGTCAATTTTGAACTCAAAGGTGAATGACAACGATATTTTGGAGTCAGTAGGTGGATGAAAGGACATTTTGGAGCCAATATATAAATGAACGGTAATTTTATATTATTTTCAATATTTTAAAGGTATTTTAGGCTCTTTTTCTTTTTTTCTTTTTTAAAAGAAGATATGTACAAGATGCATATTTAAGGATGAAAAGTGATGTTCTAGTGATATTTTTCAATTTAACCCGAGTTTTACATAATTGAAAAACTACTAAAAAGTTATAGTTTCTTAAAGATATTTACGAAGAATAAGTAAATACTATACATTTTACTATTTCTGAAAATGAGTAACTTTCTAAAGAGATAAATAAACCCAATATTTTAAAACAAAAATTATTTACTATAAGTGGAAAAAGGAAAAATGGATATATGTAATAAGTAGTACAACTTCGAATACATGGTTTTTGTATCAAAAGAAATATTTTAATAAATTATATTTACTATAATAATTGATGGTTAATATTACATCTAGGAAAATAATTAATGGTAAGCACAAAACATGAGAACTAAAAACTCTGTATTATTTTTTGTAAAAATAATAAATAAAAAAATATAAGTGAAGAAAGGAAAGAAATATAAGAAGAAAATGCAGGAGGTATGTAATTACCTCAGAGAAAGCTGAAGAATCATAGAGTGGCCCATCTGCAGTAATAACAACAATATTAAGCCACTTAAACTACTCTTTTATTCAAATTCAAATTCAAAATTATATAAGAAATTAATTAATTAATTAACAGAAATAATTACCATAAGGAGAAACAGAGAGCATCCAATATAAGAAAGAGAGGGAAAACATGGCATGACTCCTCATTCTCTTCATATCTTCTTTACATAAAATAATTTTAGAAAAAACTACTTGACAACATATATATATATACACACACACAAAAAAAAGGGGGTACTTATTAATAAATGTAATACCAACTAGGAAGCAAAGTCACAAGAGGAACAGTACGAATACTCATTCGATCCATAATTACTTGTTAACTTTTTTTTGTTTTAATTATTTTTAATTATATCTATTTTAATAATTTAAGAAACGATAAAATATTTTTATCTAATATATTTTCAATTAATTATTTTAAAAAAATTAAAACTTTTTTAAAAATTTTAAATTTTTAATTCATTGACTTTATAATTAATAAATATAAAATAACAAATAATAAATTCAATATATCATTAATTATTTTATTATTAAATATGTGAATTTAAAATTAGACAAATATAATTAATAACAGAGGAGTGACTTTGTTTCTCCAAACTCCCTGCTTTCTTCACATGCCTCCCAAAAGCAACAACCTAATAAATACAACTATTATTTCTTCCCCCTTTAAATAATTGTTGCTTTTATTTTCAAAATAAGTGACATTATTAATGATCTTCCAAGTTTACTCAAAAAAACTACTAAAGAGTTACTATAGATTTTATTAAAAAAATATTTTACTTTCTAAAACTGACAAGTTCTAATTTGTTGGTCACAAAACCATTCTAAGTTTTTTTTTTCTTCCAAATAAATAAATAAATTGTATTGATGTGTGGTCACAAGAACTTTACAGAGCAAGCCCATTATATATTATTCTGTCAAAAGTGGAAATGTGCATCATTGTTTGTGCAAAACGCACTACTCTTCAACCTAATATCGACATTGTTTGTACTCTCCATTATATATTTTCTTGTGTGTATGTAAATGGAGTACAGTGTGCGTCAAATTGCGGTAGGTAATGAATGAAGCCTTTCTCTATGCTCGTCACGTGTACTCACATACTCCAAAAACAATTTATAAGTCATTTGGTAAAGTATGTTAGTTATGAATTCTATTTGATACGCCCTCCATCCCTAATTTATGAGTCATTTGGTAAAGCTATGAATATTACTTTCTTTCGTTCATTATTATTTGTTATAATTTTTATTTTTTAAGTTTAATTAGAAAAATATTGATTAATATTTTAAGATGTATTTTATTCATCATATTGATATGCAAAAAGTTATAATTTATAGTACTTTTCATACAGTTTTTGAATATCTAAATTTTTGTCACGACCCGAATCCGAGCCGCGACTGGCACCCACACTTACCCTTCTATGTGAGCGAACCAACCAATCTAACCCTTAACATTTCAACGTATATCAACAGAAAGTAATGCGGAAGACTTAAACTCATTAATAAAAACAATTCAAAACTATTATTATCATCCCCAAAATCTGGAAGTCATCATCACAAGAACATCTACGATCAAATGACTAAACTAGGAGTATTCTAAAAGCTAAAAATACATAAGAAGCTAGTCCATGCCGGAAGTTCAAGGCATCAAGACTTGAAAAAGAAGATCCAGTCCAAGCTAGAAGCATTAGCTCACCCTGAATTTCCGATGTAGTAAGACTGGCTTGAATTACTGTTGAGTTGAAGACGATGGCACGTTTGCTGTACTCCACAAATAAGCCAAGAAGAAAACATAAAAGTAGGGGTCAGTACAAAACACGGGTACTGAGTAGATATCATCGGCCAACTCAAAATAGGGAACAGTATATATCAATATTATTGTAAATCAACTATAAAACTCAACATGTAGCCACAACAAGTATTATAATCAGCAATAAGTACCATCAAGTTCATCCATGAGGGCTCAAGCCTCAACACCATACTCATTTGGGAATTATGTTCGTTAGATTGAGTATATTAACATCTTTCAAGATTCATTATCTTTAATTCTCTTGTGTCGGTATGTGACACTCCGATCCTTCATATTCATTATTCCTCTTGTGTCGGTACGTGACACTCCGATCCCCTAAATCTACGTGTCGGTTCGTGACACCCGATCCCCTAAATCTACGTGTCGGTTCGTGACACCCGATCCCCTAATTCTACGTGTCGGTTCGTGACACCCGATCCCCTAAATCTACGTGTCGGTTCGTGACAACCGATCCCCCTAATTCTACGTGTCGGTTCGTGACACCCGATCCCCTAATTCTAGTGTCGGTTCGTGACACCCGATCCCCTAATTCTACGTGTCGGTTCGTGACACCCGATCCCCTAATTCTACGTGTCGGTTCGTGACACCCGATCCACTAATATCATTCTGTAAATCATCAAGCCTATACCAAGGCATCATCAATCCCATTGCTTTAATTCATCAAGCCTTCTTCTATACCAAGGCATCATCCTTAATAATGTATATTAAAGTTTCTTTTCAAGATTTGGGATTCAATATTTTCATCATGCTTATCTTATCACAATCACATAATCATATTCATGCAAGCATACAAATAAGCATATAGCAGGGTTTACAATATTATTAATACATATCATTCTCTATCAAGAGTTTACTACGAATATCGTAAGAGAAACCATAACCTACCTCCACCAAAGATTAGTGATCAAGCAAGCAAATCTTTCTCCAAGCTTTGTTTCTCCCTTCTCGTTCGATTCTCCCTCTCTCTCTTGTTCTTTCTATTTTCTTTATTCCAACCCTCTTTCTTTTACCCTAATTAGTATATAATTAAGAATAAAAGATGGCAATAATACCCACTAATTAACTTAGGGTTACCTCTTTTAACCCCTCAAGAATTTGAGTTATTAATATAAACCCATGAACTTTATAATTAAGGCAAGAATAGTCAAAAACGTCCCTTAAAACTTAACCAGAAATCCGACTCTGCCTGGGATTTGCGCAACCTGTGACGGGCCGTCGTGCCTGCGACGGTCCGTCCTGCAGGTCGTCGCAGAGTTCAGAGACCCAAATTTCCACCAAGGGTCTGTGACGGTCCGGTTCTGCCATTCCGTCACAAAGTTCAGAGAGTCGATTTTCTGTACCCAATTTCAGATTTTCTAAGTGTTTTGAAACGAGACCTGCGACGGTCCGTCGTGCCCATGACGGTCCGTCGTGGGGTCCGTCGCTTCTGCCAGTTTTTCCAGAAATAAAGTCTGCTGCTCAAAACGACTAAACGGGTCGTTACAATTTTTTGTTTAAAATATCAAATTTATAATGTTATCTAATTTGACTTTGAAAATAAGTCAAAAGTGACTTTCGAAAAGCGCAACATGACAAATAAAAATGAACGGAGGGAGTAATTGACACAGTGAATTTATCATTTTACCCCTTTTAAATGAATTAAAAAAACTTAAGATTTTCAAGACTTTTTCAAAGTAATTAATTGAGGATATAATAGGTAAAAAAATGTGTCATTTCTTGATTTGTCAAAATAAACAACTAATTAGGGACAATTAAAATGGAAAAATGGACAAGTATTTGAAGACAACTAAAAAGGAAAAATAGACAAAGGTAGTACTCCTTCCGTCCACAATTATTTGTCATGGTAAGGTCATGCACTCCACTCAAGAAAAATTTAATACAAGGTGTAATTTGACTAATATAACTTTACTATATCAAGAATATCAAAAGTCTAAATAACTTTTCAATATAACAAAATGAAGTAATTATTGAGGATAGATTTGGAAAAAAATGACTAATTATTTTTTAATTATTTAAATTGACAATTAATATTAGATATTCATTTTTAGTATACCTACCAAACAATTGTATACGGAGAGAGTATTATTTAGTACTTTCCATGTCAAAAAATAGTTGTTCACTATCGACTTAGCACCCCTTAAGAAACTTTAAATAGATGGGTAATTGTATTATATTACCCTCTGAATATAATAAATACAATGTCTTGAAAAATGTAATATGAAAATGACTATAATTAATGAAAAGAGTAAATTAAGAATTAAGTATAAAATTATTCATGAATTTCATAAATTGGACAAGTATTGTTGGATGGAAGGTTGATAGAAATTTTGAATCATTGTATAATTAATACATGTATTCGTTATAATTCCTCTGTCCGGTATTGTTTGTCATGTTGCATTTTTTGAAAGTCAATTTGACTAATTTTCAATGTTAAATTAGATCACATTAATTTGATAATTTTATTTTAAAATAGATATTCCAAAACTATATGAAAAGTACTATAAATTGCAATTTTTTGCATATTAATTTGATGAAAAAATACATCTTAAAATGTTGGTCAAAGTTTTTATAATTGGACTCTAAAAATAAAAACCATGACAAATAATATTGGACGGAGGAAGTACAACATATGGTAATACATGGTGTATAATGAATACGTTTCATTTGATTGCATTAGTCACTACACCATTTTCAGCCTACAGCAACACCACGTAAGTGTAGCCTAAACTAGCAAAAAGTGTGGCCTTTGATAAAAGGCTACACTTTTGGACATTCAGCAACACTTTTTAGGGGCTGCCCAAAAGAAGCGTAACCTTTGACATTAGGCAACACTTTTTAAATGTTGTCATCTTTGGCTACACTTATAAAGCGTAGCCAAATAGGTATAAGAGCACGCTTTGAAGACGTGCATTAGCAACACCTATTTTTTGTTAGACTACACTTAAAAGCGTTGCCTTTTCAGATTTATTGGTCACACTTAAAAAGTGTTTCCTTTTATTGGTCATCTATTGCAACATTTATAAAGTGTAACTTTATATCTCATCTATTGCAACACTTATAAGGTGATACTTTATATGTCAGCTATAGCAACATTTATAAATTGTTTCTTTATATCTCATCTATAGCAACACTTATAAAGTGTTGATTTTATATCTCATCTAGAGCAACACTTTCAAAGTGTAACTTTATATCTACCTAAAGCAATACTTACAAAGTGTAACTTTATATCTACCTAGAGAAACACTTTCGAAGTGTAACTTTTTATCTACCTAGAGCAACACTTACAAAGTGTAAGTTCAACATTTATAGGCCTACATGTATCACAAATATATATAATATATTTACATACATACAAGTGACCTAAAACACAAAATGAACTAATTAATCATTAAATTGAAGCTATATATTTCAAATAAACTTCGAGACATATTTCATGTACAACCAAAACATAGAAAGTGATTGCTTAAAGATCTCTAATATCAACAAGTTCCAAAAACCCAAAAGTGTCATTCAAACGTATATGACAACAATACAAAAATTTCTTCATCTTTTGCCACAATAGATCGAGTTTACTTCTGGCCAAATTCAAATTCAATTACCTACATTTTCCTGCATATTTAAAATAAAATTATAAGTTTGTGAATTAATTGTGGAAGTGCATAATCAGAGAGAATTCACTGTAAGACAACCAATCCAAATCTAAATACAATTTCAATGTAAAAATTACACATTATAAGGACTACAACATTTGTGCAGTCTTCTGTTATTGGCTCTCAAAAATTAAACTTCAAAAGTTTAATTTGTGCAGTCTTCTGTTGTAATTTGTGCAGTCTTCAAAAGTTTAATAAGGTTGCATTTCCTAATGCTACTTTTGCTTAAGTTTTAACTTTGATTTATGAAGGATTTTTAAGCGTGTTTATATTTTATGTACGTCCTATATATTCTTTTTGCCTTTACAGTTTTCTTAAAAATTCATTAACTATATTTCTGAAACTTAAAGGATGTGGATTTATCTTCTATGTTTTAACCCGTGCAACCGAGTAAGCACGTCAAAACACCAAAATAGAGAAGTATTTTGATTTTAATTCAACACAAAAATGATACTTGAATCTAATTCAATAGCAAAAACTATATCATGAGAAACTCAAGATCATGTAAGTAAACAATCATTCAAAGCATTTTTGAAATTCAACAAGTATTTCATCATGTGTTTCTTCAACATTGATTTTTCATTAAACCTGGTACTACCGCTAGTGTTTAGAAAGAACATGGTTAAAACCACCGGTAAAGCCAACATTCTTCTGAAGCAATGATTCCTTATCAGTCCTACTTTATCAAGAATTAAGTCCACTAAATACCACATCAATTGAAACAAAGTATTTCCACATCCATAGAACAAGAAGTCAACAAAGGTGACTAGAAAAATCAACAGAGAGACATGATTTTCAAATATTGCATGCTTATCTATTTGAAAACAACTTTTTACACAAACTTGATCAAATTTCTTAAGCTACAAATGTAGTTACTGGTGAACTTTACAAGTTTAGATAAAAATAAAAACAGGATATTTTCTTGAATCATGTAAAACAACCAAAGCATTTAGACCTGCACTTTTTTTATTCATCTAAAACTGTATCGACCAAGGCATTCCAGTCAGCTTGTATTGTCTGTTAGCTGGTTTATATAAATTGATAAAATTATCAGTCAGCAGGTGCAGGGTAGTCCACGTTGGTCGTCAAACATTTTTTTTTAGATTCGTTGTTTGCAAAAAAAAATGCAGAGAGGGGTAGGGACCATATGATCATGTGTTACATGAGAGACTGTTTAGTATTGCAAGAACTTGACAGGTAATGAAATTAGAAAGTTACAAGTTATTTCTCATTCGTTGCATCTAGTTTATTAAATAGGACAGACTTTAGCATCATACAAAACTTTCTCTCCATTTTATTTGCACTGACTTCTCCTAATTTTTCTAAAACTTCCCTCACTTTCAACAATATCCAAAACTCAACAGGTTGTCCATACTACAAAAACAAATCTCCTACTTCTATTATGTTATTGCTAGTAACAGTTAGCAGAAAAGAAAGAAAGCATAATCCTCAAGTTGAAAGTAGAATGTTACTAAAATTTGAGCTCCCAGAATGGCGTTCTACTAATTTGACCTTGGAAACATGTCTGGAAAACTAGGCAACCCCTAAGAGTTTCTTGTTTCACCTGGACAGCCTTGAAGAAAACATGTCTAACACAAGACAACCTCAGGAAAAAAGGTGCAATCCTCATCAACAGATGTGTCATGTGCAAGCAAACCAATGAGAGCTTTTGCACAGAAAATAGCCAATATATTTTCTGTTTGGAGCAGCTTTTTTTCACAAGGTGCTTTTGTAACTTTGCATCTTCTTGATGCTTTCTAATATCATTTAATTACTTTATCAAAAAAGAAGAAGTTGAAAGTAGAAAAAGAACCAAAACAATTAAAGACATAAAAACAATTGCTTTACTAAGGAATTAAGTTATATACATTAACAATTAAAGCATGTTACGCTATCATTGTAGTTTTACCAGTTATAGAAGGTAATAAAATGTGCACCAATCAAACTTATCATACACAGTTACTTGTTATTGTAAAAAATAAGAAATTAGGTACTGTCCAGCCACAAAAGTTAAGTCTATTAATATTTTTTTTTCGTGATAGATCCCTTTATAGGTTGAGATTTCCTATTTGTCATAACTGTAATGTCCAGCTCTTGTAAAACACTCTCACAACTTACTGCTCCCTCTCTACCCCTTCTAGACTTGAAAAATATATCCTATATCATCTATCTCTAAGTCATATGATTCGTTTTCTATATAGTGCAACTCAAAATACAAAGAAAGTTTAGCAAATCCATACTACGAGGTGATCCCAAAACAACTAAGAAATATTCAACTAAAGTTTCTAATGTACACTTGAAAATGCAATAGAGAAACAACAAAATGACTTCTAACACTTCAAGGCATGTAGTCGAAAAAAGAAACATTTTACAAGAAAATAGCTACAAGACATAATCAATGTGGTTAACAAAGGAACAAACCAAGCTTAAGGTGAGCACAACTATGAACTCAGGAAGACTAAAAAAACAGTGACATTAAAACAAACATTAAAAACTTTTCAAATTCATGTAGAGTAGCTACTTACAGTTGACGAAATCTATATTAGGGACAAAATATCGTAGGTATCGCCAACTTCAACAATTTAGTTCTTCGAAGAAAGACGATTTAGCTACAACTCAGTTCTTCATATAAAGGCGACTTAGCTTCAGCTTCTACATTCAACACACAAGAGGAAAAACTAGTGAGTCAAAGATAATTTGCCCATTTATACGTAATACAACTATAAACTAAACTCCCCAAATCACCAAAATTCGTCTCAACAACACAAGAACATAAAAACCCTAACATCAATTTTGGACTGAAATACAAGCATATAAAAATCTTAAAGCTATAATTTAGACTTTTGAAGGTAAAATCTCTTACCTGATAAACTTTATTCCAACAACCTAAAGCTTTAAGTCATGAGGCATGTTGATTTGTGAAGCATTTCCTTTCAATTTTCAAAAGGAAATATGATGGAACAACAGTTTACCCAGAAATCTTTGAAGAAACTCGTCTTCTTCAGCTCTCCAATCTTGAACAACGAAGCTGAGAGGAAAATTGTCTTCTTCAGTTCATGTTCAGAGAAATCGCAATGCTCTTTGATTTTTCAGCTAAAAATGGTGTTCTTCAGATGAAGTTTAACATAAATGTGACGAATGTTGTTCTCCATTCTTGAACAACAGCTGATTTCTTCCGTTCTTCGATCCTTCTTCAGTTACCGCGAATGTGTTCTTCAACTGAAAATGGAAGCTTCAGCTGAAGTTTTAGGAAATGTGGCCTTTTTTTATTTCTTTAATGTTTTATTCTTTTTAATTTTTCTTTAATGTTTTATTTTTTTGGCCAAATAAAAATGGGAGGGAGATGAAATTTTAATGTTAAAATGTTGGAGGGAATATAAAATTTTGGTGAAAACACTAAGACCACATTTTTAATGTGTTGTATTTACAATTATAAAAATAACACACTTCAAAAGTGTGGCCATTCATGTAAATAATTGTTGCCAACCATGACAACACTTATAAAGTGTAAGTTATCCCATTAAAGAGTACACTTTAGATGTGTTGCTAAAATTAATGTAGCTAAAAAGTCAAAATCTTTGGCTACACTTTGAAAGTGGTCCCAAAAGTATTTTAGGCAACACTTTATAAGTGTTGTTCAGATTTAGTGTTGCCGTAGACCTAAAATGGTGTAGTGAGTAATGCATATTATTTAGTACCATGAGATCAACATATATAGAAACAATGACATCCCTGAAATCTTTTAAATCATTTTATTTATTTTCTTGATCTTAAATAAATTAATTTATAAATTTTGTTTTTTAGAGAAAGTTGTTTGTTGTTAAATAAATTTAATACAAAATAATATAATATTTGAAATGTGAGTTATTTAACATTTACTTGTTGAAAAAGCAAATATATGATCATGTTTGTGATCTCAGTTGCATGTTACTATTTGTTTATAAAACTGTAGGCATATTAAAATTAAGATTTGTAATTTTATAGAAATGTGTAAACGTAGATAATTTATTTGATTTTACTATTATTTATTGTCTTTTCATTTTTAAAAGTAGATGATCTATTATTTAAATTGTAATCTAACCTTTTGTGAATGATTAATTCATGGAGAAAATGACAAATATATCTCGGAAGTATAAAAAATGATGTGTCAATACCTTCAATTATACTTGAAGATTATATATACTCTTATGGTCAATATTTTGAATCATCTATATTCTTGAGACTAACGGATGGATACATATCTGATTTTTTTTATTTATCCAAAAAATTGAATACTCACCCATTTTTCATAACTTACCCACCCATGACCCAAATTAACATGCCATGACATTTAACATTAATAATAAAAAGCATAGTTTTTCATCTCCACTAATTATCAAATAAAAGGAAAAATGTTCTTCAATTCATTTTCATTGACACCATTCTCCAAATCTCACAAACAAAAATCTAGAAGCATAATGTTTCAATCAAAATCAAGAAACCAATTTCATATTTTGTTTAAATCAATTTATTATTGTTGAAAGGGGTTGAAAACAATATCACTATTGATGGACAGAGCTTCAAGCTTAAAAATGACTCTACAATTGAATGAAAAACTTTGAACTCAAATTGATTTATTGGTATTAAAAGGGGTTGAGAAAATACTACTATCATTAATGGACAAAACTTCAAGCTTTAAAGTGGGTCTACAATCTGATCGAAAATTTTAAGCTCAAATTGATTTGTTATTGTTGAAAGGGGTTGAAAATACTACAATCACTGATGAATAAAGCTTCAAACTTTAAAGTAGGTCTATAATCAAATAAAAAATTTAAAGCTCAAATTGATTTGTTATTATCGAAAGAAATCGAAAATATTCTTAAAATAGATAATATACAGAACATCCAACAAGCTACATTCTTACTAAGCTAAAGAAGATGTAGTTTTTTTTTTGGTTAGCAGGAATAAAGTCTACAAATTTAAAAAATTTGAAAGACACCAAATTGACAGAACTTGAAAGGAATGTTACATATTGAAACTTAATGGAATGGGACGATACAAAGTTTGAAGTAAATTGAAGAAGAGAGTATTTTTAGTGCACAAGCCATTTTCTTTCTTGAAAGATAAGTTCTTAATTTCATGGTCATAGTGGGTTCAGAAAAATAGAAGGATGATTTTTGATGAAAAATGAAGAGTGGATTTTGACACCATCCATTTTAGTTGGGTGTACTTTTAATTTTGGTTAATAAATAAATAAAATTGGGTAAATCATTTAGATAAAGTTACGTGTTCGTTTGTTAACCTCAAGGATATACACAATTCAAAAGAATGACGATACGGATATATATGACCTTAAAGTATAATAGAGGATATTGACATACTATCATATATGATAATTCGGGAATGTATATATATTTTTTTCTTAATTCATTAAGGGTGTATTTAGTATGAAGGAAAACATTTTTCAATTTTCTCATGTTTGGTTTGATTAAAAGTTTTGGAAAATATTTTTCAAATCAATCTATATTCCTCAAAATTAAGGAAAATGACTTCCCTAGTTTCCTTCAAAAATTAAGAAAAACATTTTTCAAAACTTTCCCTCAACTTCAAATTACATTTTTTTTGTTGAAAAAAATAATTTAAAACTTATTTTAGAAAATATTTGTAATTTTTATTTTTATTTTTTCACCCCACCCGTCCTTACCCATGACCCCCCCCCCCTCCAAAAAATTAAGTTATTTTTAAAAAAATATTTTCAATTTTAATTTTTTATTTTTTCACCCTATCCCTATCCGCGCTCCCCCCCCCTCTCCCCGGCCAGCCCTCAACCCCCAAAAAAATTGAGTTTGTTTATTAAGATATTTTCAATTTTCAATTTCATTTTTTTCATCTCTAACCTTGACCCCACCTTCCCAACCACACCCACCCCGCAAAATTTTGCAGCCCCCCCCCCCTCCTAAAAAAAATTAAACTTTATTTTTAAAAAATATTTCAATTTCAAATTAGTTTTTTTCACCAATACCCTAGAACCCCACCCATCCCCCAATTTTTTTTAAAATTTGTTATTTTTTTCACCCCTAACCTAGACACCCCCCCACCCCCTCCCGTACTTCAAAAAAATTATTTAAGTTTGTTTCTTACAAAATATTTTCAACTTCAATTTTGTTTTTCACCCCTACCATTGACCACCCCCCCCCCAAATCCACCTCCAAAAAAAAATTTTAAGTTTATTTTTGAAAAATATTTTGATTCAAACTTTATTTTTCACCTCTACCCCCCTACACCCACCCCCATCCCCCTAAAAATTAAGTTTTTAAAAAAAAGATATTTTCAATTTCATAAATTATTTTCTACTCTAGTAAAAATAAAAAATATTTTCTCAAAAATATTTTTCATTCATAAATCAAACACTAAAAATCTTTTCCAAGAAATATTTTCAATTTATCAACCAAACATGAAAAATAAGTAAAAAAATGTACTTGTTTTTCAAAAAAAAAAATTTCTATGGAAAACATTTTATCCTTCATACCAAACACACCCTAAATGAGAATTATTTTCTCTCAAATAATTCAAGTGAAAAAAAAATTTCCTCTGTTAAAAAAAGAAAGATTCGATTTTTTTGGTCTTTTTAAAAAGAATGACCCCTTTTCTTTTTGACAACACTTTAACTTTAACTTTCCACGGGACATCTTTATGACCACAAGATTAAATGACATTTTAGTACATTTGACATAACTTTAATTTAGAACCACATTTTTTTATTTTCTTAAACTCCGTTCCAAGTCAAACTATGTCATTCTTTTTTAAACGGAGGGAGTAACAAACATGAAGAGAAAATCGTTGTTTTTCTAGCTAGATAGAAGACCACACAAAAAAATATTGTCAGGTAATTATCTACCTTGATCTAATCTTATGAATTTAAATCTCATAATAATTCAAGGATATAATTATTGTAAATAAGATTTTTATAGAATTTTTAATCCAAACACAAGATAAGGTGAGAAGCAGTGGACCAAATACTTGATAAAAAATAAACTCTCTATTATTAATCCCTACATTATTAATTCATGTGTTATTAATTTTGGTACCAAACGACTCCTTAATATACAAACGACCCCTTGATGCATTTATTATGAATCCTAAAAATGACACTAGAAATGACGTCAATATGCCCGAATTAATTCCTTTCACTATTCCTCAAATGGTCATTGAATTTAGTTGTACAAATATTCTTGTTTGCAACAAATTTAAAAGTGACAAAAAATAAATTGCAATCACAAATTAAATAAGAATAATTTTTCTACTAATAAACATTGTGGATACAAATCTGTTTCCCCCTTGATTCTTCTCTCATAAGATTTACATGATTCAAGGACAGTTAGTAGCGTATTTCTTGAACTAAAATGATTAGGATTTTGATCTCCTTATGAATATTTCATGTTTTTGTGGGATATTCAAGATTTAATTGAGAAAGACAATATAATATTTCATGAATTTGTAAAATATTCAATATGTCTTTTCAAATAAATATAGTATCCTTTTTTTATAGACATGAATTACGGTTGAGGGTTGCGTAGCATCCAAGAATTCTATCTAGAATTGCATATATCTTGCAACTTGCATAGTCTCACTAATTTTCAATGCCTACAAATTTTTCCTACTTCAAGGTTTGTTGGAGTGTAGACTTGATGAAAGTTTAGTAGAATGAAACCTGATGAAACTAAAAAACGATACTTGAATTACCAATAAAAATGAAGCTTCCACCTCTACAATCTTGTGGCTTCATATTTGCAGATATGATTTATGAGAGACGAGAGCATATTAGTCTCATTGGGTGTGTCACTTTGTTTGCAATAAATTCTTTCAATTATGAAAATATATTGTAATCACAAAATAAATAATAAAAATAATCTTATTTATCAAAATTTGAGTAAAATTTACAAGACAAATAAGAAGAATACGTTTATCCATCAATATTGTGAGTACAAATTTATTGATTCTTGATTTTTCTCTTATAATTTTCTCCATGATTTGAGATCCATTATTGACATATTTCATGAACTAGGATGATAGTTTGGATTTCTCCATGATTCGAGTGTCGTTAATGATTTATTTCTCAAACTAGGATGATTTAATTCTTCACCTCTTTATGAAAATTTCATGAATTTATGGATTCTAGAGCTTTCTCTTTAAGTGAACATAATATCCTTAATATAGACATAAGCTAGGATTTAGGGTTCGAGTAGCCTCCAGATATTCTAACTAGAATCCCAAGTAGAATTGAACATGTGTTGAAGAGTACCATAAATTGACAGTGTGTAAAATTTCTCCTAGGTTCAAGGCTTGTCGGAGTGTAAACTTGATGAAATACAAAGACGTGAGACTTGAAATATTAATCACCCTTCCGTATTTGTTGTTTTGCGACTTTAGATTTGTATATTTGATTTACAAGAGAAGAAATGAAGGACAAATTTGGTCCCACTGAGCATCATAATTTATTTGTAATAATTTTAAAGTGACAAAAAATAAATGACAATCAAAAATAAAAATATGAAGAGATAAGAATATTTTATTAAATAATATAGGTATAATTCTGTGTTTTCCTCGATTCCTCTCTCTAAATTTTTATTGTGATTCAATGGTCATCACTGACTTATTTTCAAACTAGGATGAATATAATTTCTCCATGACTACAGGTCTGTTAATGGTGTATTTCTCAAATTAGGATGATTTAGATT